GTGTCAACTTCAAAACATAAAACTGCATGTACGAAGAATACTCACAAAAAGTGTACATGCGCCCAAAAGCCAAAAATGGCGTATACGCCAAAAAATATTCAGACTTACCAGAGCTGTAGGCAAGTTCCCTTTATAAATCAACTTGAAATGTGGCACATGTGAGCGAGCTCCTTGCCATAGTTGCCTATAAAGCCCCTCATTAATATGAATATGTATTGAATGCATGAAGAACAGGATGGAAAATTCCGACTGAAAAGCCACAAAACAAAATTTTACTCTATGTGACATTGACGTTCCTTTTGGTAAAGCTGAAGCATGTTGTTTGGTGGGGAAAAAACACACTTTTACGCCACGCTTGTTCACCGGAGGAAAGGGGGCACCGGGGCTCCACCCCTTTATAACCAATCTGCAGGAAGGGGCCTCCCTCCTGAGTAGTGACGTCACTGGCTGGAGGGACACACACACACACACACACAAGACGGCATGACCCAGGTACTAATTTGGATTCCCCGGTTAAAATAATAAACCAAATGCATTCCGCTTGTGTTTAAACATTTATTTAGGCTACACAAACAGTCCACTCACTTAATGAGGCTGCCGATGAGTTAAAAGAAATATGACTTGTTTTATGTGACACACACTGAAATATTTCTTTCATAAAATAGTGTTATATTTTCCATAACGTGTTTTTACAAGCAGCGCATCACATCCACAAGCTAGCGCACAGCGTTTGGCTCGATAAGGCAACGAACATCTGATAACAATAGGCTACATAAAATGCACTCGTATTTGCTCGACTGAAAAACAGCATCAATTTAACTGGAATTTATCCTCCTGTTCACCTTATTTATGAGAATAAATTGCACTGCATGCAAGTATAGCCAATTTATTAATATGATTCCCCATTAAACTGTTCAGCATATTTGAGTGTTTGGTGTTCTTTTGCAGAAACAGATATCTCCGTTTGTTTTTATGATCCTAAATCTGATTCTTTTTGTGCGCAGCAAATGATCTTAAATGATTTTTTTCCCCACACTTGTGGGAAAATCTAAATCAAACGGTGTTTGTTTATTCAGAAAGGCTTTAAGCCTTTAATACTCAGAGGCAAGCTACTTGGAAAATGTAGTGAGCTAAGCTACTAGCTACATTAAATGAAGCTTAACTACACAGAAGCTACCCCCCCAGTGAAATGTAGCAAGAGAGTTGCGACAGAAACATGGCAAAAGTAGCTTAGTTAACTCATATATATATACACACACACACAGTATAGGCCTAGTTTATATTGAACCAACTTCATTCCACAGTAGCAATAGAAGAAAGACTAAAAACCTGCTCCAAACAGTGTGTGTGTGCAGAGAGAGCTAAATCAGACACACACAAACTCTCCTACTTACTGCCATATCATTGCAGCTAAATGTATTTCCTCATGCAACAAACGGAGAACCATTATTGTTTGTATAAAGTAACTTAATTATCACATTATTAATTGCTTATACATTTTTTATTGTTTATATGTGAATTAGTGCTCTGGCAACATTGCAACCTAAACAACCTAAACATTCATGGCAATGGGCGAGAAAGAGAGAGAGAGAGATCTCTCATGGAAACAGGTTTCTGCCACTACATATCAAAGTTTCCTCTCACTAGAGGAAGAGGTGTCCAGGCTGGACCCTGATCCTTGTCACAAGAGGTGTTACAACAACTATCACAATAGAAAGTGAACTCTATCGCGTGTGTCTTTATTCCCCTGCAGCAAAGTCGCAGCCTAAGGATCAGTACGTGATGTCACCATCACAGGAAGCACTTCTGCCGGCTGCACATACAGGTCCGTGTGTGGCGGTGGCGTCACTTACTGATCCTTCAGTAACGCTTGAGAAAATGTAGCGTGTGTGGAAGCTACTCGGCCAATAAAAGAGCTTCGTTACTGAAAAGCTATTTGATTCAGAAAATAGCGACGCTGCCACTAAGCTACTGAGAAATGTAGTTAAACTAGTAACAGCGCTACTTGTAGCGACGCTACTGCCCAACACTGCTCAGAGGTAATATTTCCATTTATTTTACACAATAGATAGTTACAATAGTAGGCTATATTCATTTTAAACCGTTTCATCCTTCTGCCATGTGAGTCGCCGTTTCTCATTTCTCCAGTTTATGTGTGTACGCATGGTTCAGAGTTTGCGTGGAGGACCGCACATTCTCCCGTCAAGTTTTTTTTTATAGATCACAACCTTTGCTTGGGAAGTGGTGCATGCACGTTTCCAGCCCTGTTTTGCACCGTTTATAAATGAGACCCCAGCGTGCTCGAAATGTCAAAAGATCAAGCTGACACTATCCTTAAAACAAGTTGTTTCTTTGGGTTTGTTACTGTCCTAAATATGTCATTTTAGAGACACAGTTCTGTGCTGGAAAGAATTAAATTTTTAAAAAGATGTTTCATACAGTACAATAAATAGCTGACTCAGTTAAAAAAAATTGTTGCAGTTCTAGTGTGGCTTTCACATTTCAGAACCTCATTTCCTAAAGAAAATGCAATAAAACCAAACTGGAAGCAAGAAAATCTCATCTCAAGGAAACCTATCTCACACTACAATCACTCTTCATTTAACACAACATAGATAAGGTGTTTTCGAGGCAATACCAAGCATTTCTAGCAATGACTTATACAATAGGTGCTTTTCCGCAGTAGATCCTGTCATTGCAAGGGGACATTCCTGTTTGGTTTTGTGCTGCTTGTCCCCACCATGTCAGCCTGAGGAGACAATCCGGAGCTGACATTTTGGGGTCAGTATGCATACTTCCTAAGAAAGAGCCCTCAAATTTCCAAGAAACAAAGTGTGCTTGCAGTGGTCTGCCCACTGCTTAAATATTAATCTTAAATAAAAGCCAATCCCTGATGATCTGTTTCCAAGCAGCCACATTACACACTCCCCTCCTGGAAAGCCAGCAGAAATAGCAGAAATAGAAGCTAAATTAAAACCGGCGTTCCTGTTTTATTAGTGGTATAAATAGCATTTTGCATTCCAGCCCTCTGCTCTGTCATGTCCCAGACCACCAACCTCACTGGATCAGCTGGGTGTTTCAATATAACAACACTGCCAGCTATTCTCTGCCATTTGGCCTCCACACTGTGTCATTTGACTTAAAATGGGAGTGTCCGGTGTATATTAGAGAAATACAAATTACTTGTGGGTGTCTGTAAATCGATATGAACTTATTTGTTTGGCGTAAATTGTCAACAATTATAGTAATATGTATTAGATCAAACATTTGCTGGTTAAAGTTCCTTAAATGTGAGGTTTGACTGCTCCTCAGTGTAAATTGGATCCAGATATTGGTCAGACACAACAAGAAATTTGAAGATGTCACCTTAGAACTTGACATGAGCGTTTGTTTACGTTACATTGCACTTGAGGATGCTGATGCCCAAACAGGCTGTACCTCAAATGCCTGCTATTTTATTAATTGTTTCAGCCCCTTGTTACTATTTGACATTTTCTTGTCCATCCATCTCACTGATGTGCACCTCATTTGCAGAATTTTACTGCCCATAGAGAAAGCATACCACCTTCTGCTGGACAAGCTGGCCAACTTCCGGGTTAGCCTTATGCTAACTTGAAGGGGGATAAAATAATTGTCCCCATGTAGGCTTTCCAAATGTTATGGATCAAATTCTGATCCATTCCGGTGCAGTTGTGATACTAATGGAAGCATTTTTCTTGAAGCCATGCTTCTCACTAAGTGCTGCCCTAGTCACAGTCTGTCCGCTTTACAGCGGCAAAAGTAGCAAAGGAGCAGGCTACGACAGAGCCCATAACATAAGCACAAATTGGCCAGTGAGCCCAGTCCCAGAACATCCACACAGCACAGTCTCATGTGCACTCTGAATCACACAGAGAGGGACAGTTAAGAGACACACAGGGCCGGACAGCCATAAAAACCTTATGGATGAGGCGGCCCACTGGGATTTGTCCCGGTATGCCAGATGGTCCAGTACACCAGTGAGTCAGCGTGTGGAGGTCAGGGTGGTGTAGTAGTCTGTAAACTTTGTGTCCTGTCACAAAAAAATCATGTTGGATATTTCTTTTCCATAACCATAGTCTGTCCTCGAGACTAACAATGTAGTGACTACAAAGAGTGGATATCCACAACTATAATAATTGATTTAAAAAATGTTGGCAAAAACATCACCCAGGGTTTTGCCAAATAATCCAACGTTGGTCTGTCTGGAATTTCGTAGATTTAGGGGCAACACCATAAATAAAAAAACATGATTATGATTCACTTAAACAAACAAACCACACCTCTTTCTCTTACTGCCTCTTTCTGTCACTCTCTCCGTTTATGTGTCTGCTCTGTATGCAGACAATGTTGTTGTTGACGTAGCCTATCGAAACGATCAAAACCAATGTGCTGCTGAATAAAACAGCACCAACAGATTCACTTGCACGCTTTTACAAAACAATGGCATAAGTATGCATACATTAAACAAGAGACTGTCTCTCACTGTGTTTCACAGCAACAGTCAGGAACATATACTAACATTCTGTTTGCAGGGGCAGATTTGAAAGGTGAGGTAGAAAGGCAGGTCAGCGTAAGAAAAAACTAAATACAGTGACTGATGGGGCATTTTTAGGAGGGCATCAAACCCACACAGAGCGGCAACAACTACCAGTTTCTGCCTTAGTTTGGTGATATGGCTGAGATACTGTGCACTCTGCAAACCTCCCCTACATCAATATTTACATCAACATTTCGAGCTGGTTTCATGGAAGCAGTGATACTTTAGAGACACTCCTTTAAATCAGACTTTTCAATAACACAACCTTTTATTCCCAGAAGCGTAATCCATATCTGCCAGCCCTTGTTCTAAAATCGTAAGATCCTGCACTTTCTTGACCTTCAGCTCTGACATTTTGTGCATCCCTTTATGACTATGTGATCTTCACAGGCACACAGTTGTCTTTGTTGTGAGAAAATCAACGACTGGATGAAAAACTTACAGTGAATAGGGTAAGGATTATGAGGTGGAAGAACCACCTGAGGTCAGGACTCCATTTTCACACCTCTGCAGTGCCTGGGGCTCCGAACACATCTTCCCTGTCACAACCTCCTGTGGGAAGACATACAGAGTGCATTTAAGCAATCAATCACTGTCCATGCACTTGCCTGGTAGACTCTCAATTCAAATTATATTGAAGTGGTTGCATCATTTTTCATTGCATTCTACAAATGTCTGTCTGCACACAGTGCAGTTGAAAGTTCATGACGCTCTCTTCTCCTTTTGGCATAGCCTATTCCACTTCAGAGTCTTCAGCCATAGCATGAAATGACAAGCTAAAAAACACATTTGTGCAGAGTGAACAGTCTTGGAAACTTGAATACCAGTCTTAACACATCTGCCTTGATCAGAGACTCAAACTGTGTACAAACTCTTCAAACTGCATAGCATTAGTTTGGAACTTTTAATATGCAGAAACTAGTGAAATTTGGTATGATGGTATGGTATGAGCAATCATTGCAGCAACCCATAAGTCTTTGAAAGGACACATGGCATGAAACCACAAAGTTAAGACCCCTTACTCTCTGCAAAGACAAAGGACAAAGATTGTTTACATGTACATCACAGGTTACACTTGGACATCAAAATGTAAATTAATAGCATTGTGACACAATGTTGGGCGGCGCAGTGGTACAGTGGTTAGCACTGTCGCCTCACGGCAAGAAGGTCGCAAGATTGAACCTTGGTCGTCCCCGGCCTTTCTGTGTGGAGTTTGTATGTTCTCTGGGTGTTCCGGCTTCCTCCCACCGTCCAGAGACATGCAGACTAGGTTGATTGGTGACCCTAAATTGTCCTCAGGTGTGAGTGTGAGCGTGACTGGTTGTTTGTCTATGTGTGGCCCTGCGATGGACTGGCGACCTGTCCGTCGCCCGATGGCAGCTGGGATTGGCTCCAGCCCCCCGCGACCTTGTAAGCAGGACAAGCGGTTGATGGGACGCAATATTCATCTGTCCATGCATGATGAAGGCCCTTCATCCAAACAGTGCCTCCAAATAAAATTATGGCACGCAAAAATGGTGCAGAAAACATATACGGAAAAGCTGTTACTCACACAGGTGGTGGTAAGTAGTAGTATGAAAACAATGCTCAGAGCTTATTACACACTTGGTAAAGGGCAGTTTTATCCATCTGGATGAATTATACTTTCTAATTCTTGTGGTGGCTTTTCTATATTTCATAATAATTACAAGGTTGCGGCCAATTCTCCAGTGCACTGCAGTGTGTGTTATTTGTTATAATACCATGGGAGCAGCATTACTTCATCTGTATTGTTCTGCTTCTGATTTCATCGACAGCTGATTTTGCCCCTCATCGAGCATGTGTCACAAGCGTTTATAGTAAGTCTGAAGACATCAGCGTTAATTTGAATATTGTGGATACCTGCAAATTGCAATTCTTTTTAAATACAAAACCATAGCTTCTGTACAAAAACTGGCTCGAGGCGACATCCTTGCAACCCACTCTCAAAACGCTGTAACACTTGCAGATTTCAGCTCAGCAGTGAGTGGAGTGCACAAATAGAAGAGAAAAGTGAGATACTTTCTCAGAGCATGAGGCAAGCCTGCTGTGCTAGACTCACACTGGCTCTATTAGTAGGGCTGCACAATTATGGCCAAATGATAATCAAGATTAGATCACAATTGTCATGATTATTGATTGACTGGTCCTTAAAGTGCATCATCTCCTATTTTGTCCTTTTTGTGCTTCTACCTACGGCTTCTACTCTGCTTACCAGCAACCGCTCGCTGTGACCCAGTTTTGTTCGGTTGTCTGCAGGCTGCATTTCCCACAGGGAGCATTTCAGAATCAGGGCGTTTTGCCTGATTTTGCTGACATGTTTAGATTTTGCTGATTTGGCCCTATCTGTTAGTTGACAGAGGGTCACAGGAGGCAGTGCTATGCATCAGTGGACATTGCAGGCTGTGATACAAACCAGCAGCACCAAACTCTGACAGAGTCCGCTACCAGGAGAAACACAGCATTAAGAAATTCTCATCATCAGCCAGGAAGCCATCAGTCACAGTAAAGTGAGCCCTGCTCATTAGGACCCACAAGCTACTTAGTTCCCACTAGTTTAATGCCCACAGCAGGCCTTGCTCAATATGGATTATGATTTCTGATTGCATTATCGTCTGTTCCAAGGAGCAGTCTCAACTCTCTAATTAATGTTGTGAGCACAGGATGTTCATCCTTACCACACATTCAATCTGACTAAATACAATGACCAACAAAGACACAATTTACAGCTTTCACTTCAAATCTACTTAATGCTGAACATCAGAAATAAGGTTTTTTTTAGTTTTAGTTTTATATAAGTTTCATAACTACATTGAGGAACAACGTCTCACAGTCATCCCATTTCCGCGCAAAAAGTACTTAGGTACACCTTTTCCGTTCACTTCCCCTTTGACGCCGTTGTCACGTTGTCCTTCCTGCCAAACCTCTTTTGCTTGAATACAGGAGCAACGGGGGCTCTTTCCATTAATCTATGAAGAGATGGCTCCCCCTCTCAGAGTCTCGACTCCCTTGGTTCCCATCTATCCCCCTGCCATCAGCAGACACCAGACCATCTTCATACTCCTCCATCCCAGACCCTTTTCCAGCCCTCCTACATCATCTTGGCTCTCCTCCATCCATAACACGCAATAAACTATTCTAAATCCATATCTTACTGGCGTGGTCTTTGTTAGTGCATGTGACTTCAGCAGCAGCTTCTATTATGGGACTGCAGGAACCCTGATGCCTGATTCTCTGCTCTACTTCTAATTCTCTGTCTCCACATACCCTTTCTCGCTCTGGCTTTCTCAAAGCTTTCTTTTCCCTCCTGTTTGCTTTCTCTCTGTATTAATATTATATATTTCTCCCTTTCATTTCACACCCAGCCAACCTGCACACCAAGACGTGTATGTCTAAATGCAACCCTACTGCCCAACAAGAATGATTGTATTGGAAAGTTCTTTGAAACCCTAAATTACGCTCAATAAAACCTTTTTTTAACATCCAATGCCAACATGTTGAAAATTCTTTCTTTCCAACATATTTGCCAAGAGTCCCTATGGTATGGTTAAGGTTAGGAAAAGGTGCCAGAAGGTCTCTACAAATGGACACAATTACTGTTAGCATGTTCTCTGTAAATAGAGAACAACTGTGTTCCTAATCAAAGTTACATGACCATCCTGTGAGACACCCCAGAAGCTAGCAGCTAGCAGCTGCTCTGCCAAGAGGTTACATCACCTGTGTGCCACTCTGCCAGCTCAACAGTGAATCACTGTGCCATCTTTATTCCTGTTAAGTTATCTGTCCATCACACCAACAGTGTACAATGATCTACTGAGAAATTCTGGAAGCAGTGACATTGGAACAGCAAATTAACGTTTTCAGCCATCTTTATCACCATATGAAGTTACAACAAAAGGTATATTGACACATTAATTAGGCTACTGCACCATCACCCAGCAGCTGAATGGTGATGTTACTGTTTTATGCAAGTACAGTTTAAAATCAAATAGTCTGACTGGCTGTGAGTGCAGGAGCTGTACATCTATGTAGCATAAATATGCAACGTATTTACTCTTCAAATATTTGATTCAGTAGCTTCAGGAAGGCGTTTTAGTAAAATGTGAAGGTATAGTTGGGAAAACAACTGCCAACATTTGCTCTTATCTATAAAATATATCATATATTTAGCTAGCTAAAGTACTATTAAAACAGTACCCATTAGCTATTCTAAAACTATATTCCTACTAAGTTAATGCAGTTCATTTTCTATGCTGGCATGTTTTGCATTTGTGAATGGGAAACCAGATGGAGGGATTATCACAGGCAGCAGCATCAGCACTAAATTTCACACTCCTATTACTGCTTTTACCATCATGTGTCACACTCTGATTTATCATCAGTGAGTCATGTTTCACAGGCAGTTTTGTTCATAAAGTTCTTAATCGCCCTGTCCCCCAATGCCCCCTTTATCTGGTTTTGCACAAACAACTTAAACAGAAACATAACCCAGGTCTGCCTGGAACATCATGTTAAAGGGACCCTGTGTGACTGCAAACAATACAGTGGCATGTTATGTCATGATTCGGTGCTATATAAGAAAACATGCTGAAGCAGGCCCTTGTGTACAAGCAGTACAGCACATCTTGGTTCAAAGAATAACTGCATGCTTTGCTTTTAGTTACTTCTTTATTAAAACATGCCATTTCACATCTATTTTTTTCTATCCATGACCTAGTTGAAAGCCGCAGTGAGGCAGCCAGTCTCAGCCGACGGTGCACTCACGCCCCGGCAACAATATTGGTAACAGTTACCACTTTAAAATAGGAAGGCACCCAGCAGTGTGGTGTAATGTACTCTGTAATTACATGATATGGCCACTACCGGTGAAGCCTGAATTTAGATACCTATTACTCTCTTATTTATTCTTTCTCTCCCTGCCCTCAACAGCTGACTATGGGCTTTCTTGCCTAGTTTTTCAATTAGGTTTCACCACGTTCAGCTTAGCCAATCATGAAGTCAGTATCACACTCCTCCACCCCATTCACCTCCTGCTCACCAGATCCAGGCCCAGTTCAGCTCAGCAGAAGCCTTCCCCTCTTCTCGTCCAGATCCCCAGCATCTTTGCCAATAAGGACTTTGTTACTACCCATGGAGTGCCTGGAGTTTACTCGCGGAGCGCTTGTCTGCCCGTCTGTTCACATTGGGAACGCAGTGACGGATCCAAGCAGTTATGCAGGCGAAGCGTCGCTCCCCATCTGAAAAGGCCTTGAGACGCGCCTGATGGCTGCTATATTATTGCAGCCGCTGGTCAAGTTGGCAATTAACGGCAGGACAAAACGGCCCTCGGCCCACCGAGTCATTTCCCGGTGCTTCTGATGGCTAGGCCGCTTGTGGGATAGGGAAAGCCAAAGGTTAATTGCAAACTCTGGTCTCCTGCATGAAAGTCAGTCACACAATATGCTCATCCTCCACCCAGACTGCCATTCCCCTACCTTATATGTACCACCTATGTTTAGCCACTACCTTGATATACTGAGGGTACGCTACTTCCT